GCTTTATACGCGGAGTATTTCAGAGCAACTCTTCTGCTTTTCAGAACAAATAAACATCCTCCAATCCGTTTCTAGCCTACTTAGTGGCAGTTCGCCGGGGAACCCAATGGCGAGATTTTGGCGCCAGAGCTTGCTTGGTTGTCGAGTTGAAATACTCGGACAGACGTACACACATACACGCACACCGGGTCGTCACAATATGCGTTTTTGCGTCAAAAATTTGACTTCTCGGTTTTCGCGTGCAATTTTTGCTAATTTCTACTGCGCCTTTTCAGCAAAAAGGAGAAAAATTTAACATCTCTTCGACAACGACCTGTGTCCTCTCAGTTAAGCCATGCTCCCCTCTTCCGATGGTTTATGTTTTTGTGATCATTTGCGTCAATTAAGCGAAAATTTCGAATAAATCCGTTAGTTTTTTTTTTTTAGTTTTCGCAAAATTTAGCACAAATGATCTGAAAGTCACAATCGCATCACCCAAACTTTGCCTTCCTGTATTTTTCACACTTTTCATCCCATGCTGACGATCCTACCATCCCGTTAACACAATGCGGTAAGAAGCTCGGCAATGCTATCTCGTTATGATTTCATGCTTTTTGCATTTGATTGTTAACTTATCAAAAATGGAAATGATAAAATTCACCATCATAACGGTTTTGACTGAAGAAAGCAAGATCAAAACAAAAGCAGCTGGGCAGTAATCCGTAGCGTATTCGTCAGAATACAAAGCTCAATCTCCGGTGCACTGTTCTCTAGCAAGAACTATTGGAGTTCGAAACAAAAATAACAAGCTCACGCAAAAGTGCAACCATTATTTTGATTTTCTGCAACAAAAATTCTCACCATCTTCAAGCCATACGGCATCAAATGTTCGGCTGGAAGCTTACAAGTGATCACAAAGAATTTGCTATTCCCATCAATAGATCGTGAGCTTTGTGGCATGTACAGAGGCACAGTGCAATCCATTACCAGTGATAAATAGTGGCCCACATCGGGTGTCTGTACTGCACGTGTAACCAACCTGCAGTGACAAACGCATGGAACGTTTTCTTTTTGCTAAACGCGCAAACCTGTGCGCTATTTTAGCCACACTGCTTCTACGGCAGCAGAGTGAAATGAAGCAAATTTCAATACACAAATGCGTTTGCAAATCTGAAATTCACAGCAAAAGCACATAAAGACAGTAAAGATACCAACCTTCAAAACACACAAAAATGCATTTTAAATGCATTTTTTTAAGGAATTTTAGAACTTATGGACCCATCAGGGCACTGACTGGGATAAGGGGAGACCCTTTGGAAGTCGTAAATTAGCAAGTCGCACATATTGAATAAATGAGGAGTTTGAATATGCCATGATAAACGAATCACAAAATTTTGAAAAAAGCTTACATGGAAGCACTTTTGGATGCCTCCGCTTTCGAAAGTTC